GTAATGTTCATGGATTTGCACAATGGGAATCGGATCGTGATGAGATCATGATAATGAGACCGATTCACCTTTAAAGATAGATCCTAAATAATCTCGGTCATAGGTTACTCGAGAGAGACATCGAGATAACCGAACAGGCTGATGTGTTGTATACCCGTCCATATGATGGATGCAACTAGTCTTATAGTTACTCATGTGGGGACACTGGGGATATAGTGTAGGTGCTCATTGGAGAATGAGTTCACTGATTGATCCGCTCATGGAATGTTGGATGGTTGATGATGTCTTATTGTCAGACAACGATTCTATCATCCTAGTGGTGTATCTAGTCCTTAGATTTGAGACACCAAGGATGTCTTGTATGAGTACTCCACTCTTTGATATCAGATTTATAGGTCTAGAAGTTCCAAATCTAGCACAATCGGTCATCAGGAGTAGTAGCTAACCTTACGAGGGCTATTGAGTGTCGATAGAGGATCATCCACTCTCAGTGTTATAAGAGCAATATCCCATATATTTTTACTCAGACAAATCCCTAACCATGGTCATTCGGATTGAGAGAGAAAGAGTTATCCGGGAGAATTCGATTAGAGTGAGACTCATGTAGAAACTGTATGGGTCTGACAACACCATGCCCGGTATATGATCTTTGGAATATTAGATGGATGAGAGACTATAAGTACATGGTAATTAAGAATAGATAAGTCCAAAGGATTAGATTCCCCTATATCGTCTAGGGATTGTAGCGTCGTGGTCTAGTACGTCCGTAGTCGATGAGTCGAGTGAATTATTATAGAGATAATAATTCACTAAACCAGAAGAAGTTCTGACAAGTATGACCAAGGTTCGCAATCGTACCGTACCGGTATTTCGACTTGGGCTCGGTACCGGTACGGTACGGTGTACCGAGCGGTACACCCAGGTGTGCCGAGTACTGTAGCACTGCTATAGTGCTACAGTGCTATAGTGCACACGGACCGGTAACAGGCGGTTCGCGTACCGACAACCTGTCGGACCGGTACGTACCGCCCGTACTGGGCGATACGGTTTGGTACGGTAGACCCTGGGTATGACTCATTGTCAGTTCAATATTGAGCCTAGAGGGTCACACATATATGGTAGGTATTGCGACGAGTAGAGATTCAGATATGAGATATCCGCTAGAGCCCCTATCTTATTGGATATCCAATAAGCCCTTGAATTATTGGATCTGATATCCTATCTTATTGGATATCCGCTAATAAGAGATTATTGAGTAGAGACTTACTAATATAAGATACTTGAGGTAGTTGGATAGAGATCCAATACCCAATATGGTAGGATCTATTAGGGTTAAGTTAATAGAGGGCCTCTATAAATAGGAGGGAACTAAAGACTCATAGGCTAGAGATTCTTTTTAGTTGCCTCCGATTCTCCTCTCTCCCTCTCCTCCTCATACTACAGCCCCTATTTGGGGCGTGTGGACAGTAAGAAGGGGTAATCTCTTCTTGATTGTGTGGTGCGCGCGATGAAGATTTTTGGGTAACGATTTGAGGAGCATCTTCGTAGCCCCTACCGTGTGGATCACCACTAGAGAAGAGCACAATTGACCTCCTTCATCCTCTCCCACAGATCTATAGGTTTTAAAGGATATACGATCTCCCTAGGTAATTCTTTTACGCATAGTTTTTCGGTTTCGCGAGTTTTTGTGCGCCAACTTTTGCACAACGATGAAACCTTCTTTTCTGCGGGAATTCTGAGATTTTGTTTTTTTGTTCTTCCACTACGCATATGATGTCACCCCATATTTTGCAACATGATCAATAAAGATAGATCCAAGAGGATGCTTGACTTGTCCCAATCTAGGTACATAGACACCATTGTCAAAAGGTTTGGTATAAAAAATTCCAAGAGAGGTCTCATACCGATGAGACATGGGATATCGCTTTCTAGGAGTATGTCCCCAAAGACTCTTGAAAAAAGGGCAGACATAGATATGATACCGTATGCCTCAACAATAGGATCTATCATGTATGTTATGCTATGTATCAAGCTGAATATAGCATATGATCTTAATGTTACGAGTAAGTATCAAGCGGATCCAAGCTTGGAGCACTGTAAAGCAAAAAAGTGTATCCTTAAGTACTTGAGAAGGACCAAAAATCTTTTACTAGTATATGAAGAAAGAAGCATCAAGGCTATAGGCTACACGGACTTGAGCTTCCAATCCGATGTCGATTATAGCAAGTTTAATTTAAGGTATGTGTTCACCTTGAATGGAGGAACAGTGTGCTGGAAGAGTTCCAAGCAAGACATTACTACTAACTCAACCACAAAGACGAAGTACATTGTTGTGGTTGATGCAGCAAAGAAGAGTCTGAATGAAAAAGTTCATCATAGATCTGGGAGTCATGCCAAGCAATGAGTCAATTCCATTATATTGCGACAACTACAGGGCAATTGCTCAAATAAGGGAACCCAGGTCTCATCATAAGTGTTCTGAGGAGGTTCCAATATATTAGAGAGATCGTGGCCCGAGAAGATATATTAGTGGAAAGAGTTTCATCCGAAAATAACATTACAGATCCACTAACAAAGCCGTTATTTCATATTATCTTTGAGCGTCATAGGGGCATAATGGGGATCAGACACATAGGTGATTAGCTTTAGATCAAGTGAGAGATTGTTAGTCATAGGTGCCCTGCAAGCCAATCACGTGAGTGATGGCACGGGTGACATAACACATAATTTTTTTTTATTATTAATATGATAATTTTTTATTTTATATTGCTTGTTGCATAAATATATAATGATGTCCATGGATCTGTGCAATGGGAATCGGATTATGATGAGATCATGATAATGAGATTGATTCACCTTTAAATACAGACCTAAATAATCCTGATCATAGGTTACTCAAGAGGGACATCGAGATAACCGGACATACTGATGTGTTGTATACCTATCCATATGATGGAGGTGGCTGATCTCATAGCTGCTAGTGTAGAGACACTAGGGACACAATGCAGGTGCTCATTGGAGAATAAGTTCACTAATTGATCTACTCACAAAATGTTGGATAGTTGATGATACCATACTATCAGATAGTGATTCTGTAGGCCCAGTAGTGTATCTGGTCCTTAGACTTGAGACACCAAGGATGTCTTGTATGAATACTCCACTCTTTGATATCGAACTTATAGGTTTAGAAGTTTCAGATATAATACAGTCGGTCAATGGGAGTGGCAACCAATCTTACGAGGGCTATTGAGTGGTGATAAAGGATCATCTGCTTTTGGTATCATGAGATGAATATCTTGTGTGTTCTTACTCAGATAAATCCTTGGCCAAGGTCGTTCAGATTGATAAAGAAATAGTTCTCCGGGAGAATCAGATTGGAGCGAGAATCGAGGAGAAACCGTTTGGGTCTGATAGCACCATTCTTGGTATACGATTTCTAGGATATTAGATGGATGAGGGACTATAGATACACAGTAACTAAAGACGGATAGGTCTAGTGGATTGAATTCCCATGTATCGTCTGGGGACTACGGCGTAGTGGCCTAGTACGTCCGTAGTCGATGAATCGAGTGAATTATTATGAAGATAATAATTCACTAAGCTAGAATGAGTTCTGACAGGTAAAACTCACAACTAGCTCGATATTGGGCCTAGATGGTCGCACACATATGGTAGGCGTTGCAACGAGTAGAAGTTCAAAAATAAGATATCCGTTGGAGCCCCTATCTTATTGGATATCCAATAAGCCCCTGAATTATTAGATCTCATGGATGAGATCTAATAAGAGCTAATAAAATATTATTGGATAGAGACCCACTAGTCTAAGATGCTTGGGTAATTGGATGGAGATTCAATATCCAATAGAGTAGGATCCATTAAGATTAAGTTAATTGGAGACCTCTATAAATAGGAGAGAACTAAAGGCCCATAGGCTGAGACTTCCTAGTTGTCACCTCTTATTCTCCTTTCCCCTTCTCTTCCTCAAATAGCAGGCGTGCAGATTTGAATAGTGTCATTGTAGCCCTGCTGTGTGGATCACCGCTAGAGAGAAAGATGCTTGACCTCCTTCATCCTCTACTACAGATCTACAGAGATTCAGGGATATACGATCTCCCTAGGTAAAACGCATCTATCTTACACTTAAATTTAAGTTTTATGGGTTTTTGCGTATCAATTTTCGCTCGACAACGAATATCTATTTGGAAAATTTGGGTTTTTTATTTTATGCCCTTTCGCTGCGCATATGATGTTGCCCCTAAATTTCCCTATAATTGTGTGGCTACAGGTTTACAAATTTTCTGGGAGGAGAATGTGCGGTTCTTGGATATTGAAATTGACTCATCTAAGATGGTTAAGGAACCATTGTTCTTCAAGGGTATTAGAAACTGCTTAACATTGTTAGAAATATTAAAGGTCAACGGAATCCCTCGAGTGTGTTAATGCTTATCATATATTTAGGGAAGGGAACTGTTATTCTGATCGGTTGGCTGGTTTTGTCAAGTTCCTTTTTGTGGATAGGCTACTGATTGGATCCTTTTATTTCCTTTATAAGTGTTAATTCTTATAACACTAGTTGTATTCGCTGCTTTTAAGTAATACAAGTTCTTCTCTTTGGAAAAAAAAGAATCTAGTCTAGGAATGATTTGGATCTAGAGCTTAAGTGTCAACGTCGACATGAATGCTAATTGCTACATCTACATAAAGTACCTAATATAAATAACAAAAGTTATTGGAAATAGCACATAGACCCTAAATTATATTTGCCAAGTTAGTTTAGTCAAAAATCTGCGGTCAGAGTAAGGCAGAAGTTATGAAATGCATGAGAGCAATCGTACAGATCTTAAATAGCAGAAGATCAGCTTCTGATCAAAATGGCAAACCTTATCAGACATTGCATAGAGAATCTAAATTATGTATGTGGAATAAGTTTAATTAACAAGCATTCAGAAAAGGAAATGGAAAAGTATGACAGCGATCAGAGTAAAGGCAGTTGTCCACACCTTCAGCAAGTCCTGGTGTGTCTGTATCTGGAGGAAATACGAGAGTTATGTGGATGTTATCAGCAATAACCTCATGCTGTAAAGCTTCTGCTAGTCCCCGAAGCCCAAATTTACTTGCCGAATATGCTGTGTAACCATAAATTCCCACCTGTTAAGCAAAACACCCTTCTTCTTAGTTATCATCAGCAAGATTGTTGTCAGAACGTGTCCCGGATGAACAAAATGGCATCATCAGGAAGAAATCCAGTACAAATTCCTGGAAGCAATATGTCAGATACCTGGCCGGCCTGGGACGATACGATGGCAATGGAGGCCGGGAGGCCACTCTCCTTCGCTCTCTGCTTCATGGTGGGAAGGGAGGCCTTGATGAGGTGGAACGTACCCATGAGGTTGACCTCGACCATAAAGCGGACCTCCTCCAGGCTCTGCCGCTCGAGTTCCTGCGGCAGGAACACACCGTGGCTGCAGACGAGGACGTCGACGGGGTCGGCAGCCTCGAGGGCGCGGCAGACGGCTTCAGGGTCCCGAACGTCGGCGGCGAGGATGGTGACGTCGACACCGGTGGCGAGAAGGATGGCGTCGCGAGCGTCCTGGAGGCGAGAGGGGTCGCGGGCGAGGATGGTGACGCGGGCACCCTCGGCGGCGGCGCGGAGGGCGAGGGCGAGCCCGATGCCGCTGGAGCCACCGGTGACAAGCACGTGGCGACCCTTGAGGGGGATCCTGACCGGCCGGGGACGGACGATTGCAGCAAGAACGAGGAGGAGGATGGCGAAAGGCAAGAGGAGGAGGAAGAGGAAGAAGAGGGAAGCCATGGATCCTCCAGCGAGAGAGAGAGAGAGAGAGAGACTGCAGTGGAGGTGCTGCAAAATCCAGCACAGAGTCGCCGTAATACCAGATTCGATATGACACATATGTCCCTCCATCATCGTGTCTGCTGGAACTGTTGGCTCTATTTAACTACTACTCATGATATCATACGATTTTGGTGTGCATTAAAAACATCAGAACTAAAAACACGGCCTATTCAATGACGTGGACCACAAGGTTTTGAAGGATGTCGGGCAATTTACAAGAAAAAATATCCTGTATTACCTGCTACTAGATTGTCTACTAGTACTTTCTACTAGATTGTCTCTTATGATCGCTTTTATCTTAGTTATCCTGATTTTTAGATAAAAATATCCTCATTCTTTCTATCAAATATATGAAAATCAAGATAAAATTCAGTCTAATTTTTTTTTATTGAAGGGTCCAATCAAATTCAATAGAACTTTGACTTACCCCTAATACTTTCCCAAACTATCCCACCTTCTTTATCTCCTCCTACCCTTTCCTTATCTATTTCACTTTCTCCGGTCTGTGTCTTCTTCTCCACCCTCTCCTTTGTCTCCTTCTCATCCAAAATTACTTCTAAAATTTAAAAAAATATTTTTTAAAAATTTATAAAAAAATCATTGTTATAATCATATGTGGATTTAACAAGTTTAAAGTAATTTATACAATGTTGATTGAAAATGCACTCAATTATATAATCCTCAATTAGATAGGTTCTATGATGTTTTTCAATTCATTTTCGAGTGTACCTGATTAACTTTCACCAATGATCATAAACTTTCCTATATCTACTAGAACATGAGTCTAACAAAAATTTTAATTTGTTAATTTTAATAATTTAGGATAATTAATTATCGAATTTGACATGAGTAGGTTTTGTAAGCATAATCAACTTTCACAATTCTATTAAAATATAGTTATGACAAGAATTATAATTTTTTTTATTTCATGATAAATTTAGAATGATTAATTATCGAATTTGGTATGTTTTGGTAAGTTCTCGAAACGATTATAATCGTATTCATTTTCAAGTGTAACAGGGCTAAGTCCCATCCAACCATTTCAATCTTTCAAGATTACACCAGAACATGATTCATACAAGGATTATATTGGTTTTTTTAATGATAAATTTAAGTTAATTAATGATCAAATTTGATATATTTTAGATAGATTTCATGATTGATTGTATTTTAGTTTATTTTTTAGTGTGGCGGGTTCAACTTTCATTAAACAACCTCAAACTTTCATAATTCTATTGAAATAATATTTAAATAAATATTTTAATATATTTTATATTTTTATGATTTAAAAAATAATTATTGATTTTTATATGTTGTTGGATAAGTTGTATGAACGTGAGAAATTCAATTTATTTTCAAGTGTAATGGGTCAAATTTGACCAAACCGTCTCAAACTTTTATGATTCTACTAGAAAATACTTCTAACAAAATTATACCTAGGTTTTTTATTTTTCTGATAAATTTAGGATAACTAATCATTGAATTTATTTTTTTATAGATTATGGGAATAAATATATTTTAATTTATTTTCGAATATAACAAGTCAACTTCCATCAAACATACTAAATGTTTAATATTCAATTAAAACATGATTCTAATGAATTTTTTTTTGCTGATTTTGGATAATTAATTATCAAGCTTGGCATATTTTAAGGCAGGTTAGTTAAACAAGTGTAATTCTATTCATTTTCGAGTGTAACTATCTCAAACTTTCAGGAATATGATTCTAATAAGGATTGTAATTTTTTTTATTTAATTATAAATTTATTTTTTTTTATAAAAATTAGTACATTTTTTGATGTATTCTTTGAAAGAATATATTTTAATTTATTTTTTTTACCATAATGGGATCAACTTCAATTAAATCATCTCAAACTCTTATATTAGAACATGATTTTAAAAAGTATTATACTGATTTTCATATTTTTATGATAAATTTAAAATAATTTTATATAGAATTTGATATGTTTCAATTTATTTTTTAATATAACATGAGCTTTTCTGAGTAAATTATATGGAGTAGAAGGTGGATTAGGAGGAGGACGAGATGAACACTAAAGGGGACGATACGGAAGAGGAAGAGGAGTTGAGAGGGAGAGAGTGGGACCGAGGAGAAGAGGAAGATTGTTAGGACTCTAGCTAGGAGAGTCCTAATTGAGAGGGACATTCATGTAAAACCTACTTAAACCGACCCATATTAAAGAGGTGAAGAGGTTAGCTAGGGTTACGAGATTGTTTCTTAAAGAAGAATTAGGAGTTGTAAAGGAATAGGAGTCTTGAGTAGAAGTCATATTAGGAGTTGGTTAGAAGTAGGAGTCTTAAGTAGGAGTCCTATTAGGAGTTAGGGTTTAGAAACCCTATAAATAGCCATGTATTCCTCCTCTTTTGATAAGCAATAGATGAATCTTTTCTACAGCCTTTGAGCAGCAACTTGGAGGGAGGAACCCCTATAGAGTTCCAAGGAGGTCGATCCCCTAAAGATATCAAACCCAAGTTTAGAATCTGCAAGGGTTCTAACACCTGGTATCAGAGCAGCGTTCTTGGCGTCTCGCTGCCCTTCCACAGCCATCCATCAACCCTCCACAACCGCCCAAAGCAATTCCCACAATTGCTTAAGAGATCGTTGCCAAATTTCGCCATCATCTCTACCACCACGGATCATCCTTTGATCTCCCCGTGAATTGCAACAGGTTCTAGTTTTCTACCTTACTGCTGCTGCAATTTAGTTATCCTTATTTGAAAATCCCAAAAAAATTATTCTTATATTGCTGCATAAACTTTTCGTCATAAAGTTTTCATCTCTACGACGAAAGATACATTGCAGAATTCCAACCGTATAGCACTGTCTGTTTGATCTTGCTATTATGTTTTTTCTATCCAAATCTCTACAAAATTTTTATGACATCTTTGACATTTCCTAACAGCTGATTTCCTTTGGTTTTGTCAAAAAATTCTCAATATAAACCATTGATAGTTTACGTCTAATCTACTATACTTGAAAATCTGTACTGTAAAATTTCAGCCGCATAGCACTATTTGTTTGATCTTGGTCCTATGTTGTTTCTATCCAAATCTCTACGAAATTTTTATGATAGCTTTGACACTTCCTAACAGTGGAATTCCCTTTGGTTTCATCAAAAAATTCTCAACATAAACCACTGATCTTTTACGTCCAATCTGCTATACTTAAAAATCTGTGCTGCAGAAAATTTCAGCCGCATATTGTTGCTTTAATCCATCTATTTGTAGTCTTTTTTGAATGAAATTTCTTATACACTTCATAGATCATCTTGGTTTCCATCTAAAATTAATCTATTAAGAAATTCATCTCTAAAAATGATTTTGTGTTGCTGTAAATTTTCGTCGTAACCCGCTAAAATTTTTTGACGAGAATTCTGCAATCGTAACTTGCACCAATTTCCTTGCTGTTATACTACCGAAATTTTCTTGATTAAATTAGATATCCTTGCTGTTATATAAACTATGATTTTGCTATCAATTCCCTCCTCAATTTTCTCAAGTTTTTGGTGGAAATTACGTTGAGATACCGTTGTTTCTTCGACGACAATTCTACTCTTACAAGATAGCACATACTTGCTGTAACTTCCACTGATTTCTATCAAACCTTTGCTACCATCTACTATAGATCCAAAACTTTAATCCACAGCCCTAAAACTCCACCAAACCACACCCTCAAACTGCACCCAAAATAGCCACAAAACAAGCCTAAACCGTAGCCTACATCCACCAATCCACCAACCCTTTTAACCATCACCTCTCTCATCCAATACATGCTTTTAACCCGACAACAAAAGAGATATCTTAACATCACAGATTTGGTGGCATATACTATGGCATCTGAGGAGGTAATTAATGCTAAATTTGAAGCCTTCGAGGCGCGAATGGAGGATAAGATTCGGACGCTCTTTACCGAACTCAGATTGGGCCGACCACTAAGCCCGAAGAAATCTCATCAAGGAGAGAGCTTTGCCCAATCTCACCAAGCCCGAAGATATGACTTCCAAAAGATGGGAAGCTCTATAACCAACCCCAGCTATCCATGCATGAGAGTGGACTTCCTTAGATGGGAAGAAGGAGACCCGATTGGTTGGATCTCGCGCGCGGAGCGATATTTTCGGTACCATAAAACTGCGGATGCATCTATGGTGAAAATTGCAGCTATACATCTTGAAGGGGATGCTATACAGTGGTTTGACTGGTTTGAACATACTTATGGAGTCCTTTTATGGTGACAATTCAAAGAAGGACTACTAATCCGCTTCAGACCAACCAATTACGAGAATATTGACGGACAACTAGCAAAGATCCGACAAACCTCCACCATTCAGGAGTACCAAACCAGGTTTGAAAGGTTATCTAATCAAACTCATGATTGGTCTCAAAAATAGCTATTGAGGACCTTCATTGAGGGCTTGAAGCCGGAGATCCGAGGAGAAGTTAAAGCGCAACAACCATATACGCTTATGGCAGCCATCTCTTTCGCACGACATCAAGAGGAGCAATTGAACCATGAAGCTCAGAGGACTAGGGTCGCTCCTCTGTTAGGATCGAGAGCACTAAGAGGGGGGGGGGTGAATTAGTGCAGCGGAAATCTTTCAGCGATTAAAAACGAAAGCTGCGTTCGTTCGATAAAAACTATTTTGATGCAAAAGCCGATTCTAAGATTACTTATGATTAAGTGCAGTTTACGTCCAAACACAGTTTGCGTCTAAGCGTAGTTTACGCAGTTTGCGTCTAAATGCAGTTTGCGTCTAAATGCAGATTGCATCTAAGCGCAATTTGCATCTAAGCGTAGATTGCGTCTAAGCGCAGTTTACGTCTAAACACACTTTGCGTCTAAGCGTAGTTTACGTCTAAGCTCAGATTCGGAAAGATCTAAACTTAGACACTCGTTCGAAAAAGCGCAGAAGATAGTTTGCAGTTATAAATGGAATCAA